CGAGGGTCCGCTAGCCGCGGAGGAGAATAGAGCGAGAAAAGAGGGAAGAAGAGCGAGTTGAGGAGAGGGAAAGAAGGAACGAGGAGTGCATCGAGTCAGTGGGCTAGTGGGGCCGACAGAATGTAGCCCATGCTACGGTATCGTCTCCCTCTTTATCTCTCCCTCGTTCCTTCCGTTCTTCCTTCCTTCCTTCTTTCCCATCGAGTCGCTCCTCTCCTTCTCACCGACTCGACTACACTTCGTCTCGTCTTTTTCTCTTCTACTCGTTCTACACTGCAAACCCTCTATATATGTATAATAGCGGGTTCGCTATTCGATTCAAGCGTGTAGGTCGCGTCGCAAACGGCGCAGGGGTCTGCGTGTCGTACTACACACTTATTCCGCGTATATGAAATTGCGGTGTACACCTCCGTGCAATGTAGGCCTACTTTACTTCACATGTGGAGTCTCGAGGTTTTTTTATTGGGTCTTGGAAATGTGGGAAATTTCGATGTTGATACTTTGGAGATTTGCGGATTTGGGGGTTTGAATGTATGGAAGTTTAGGAATTTGGGGTTTGCAAGTTTGGAGATTTGTGGGTTTAGGGTTTAAGGGTTTGAGATTCGGCAAGTTAGGTACTTGAGAATTTAGGATCTTGGGAATTTGGTGTTTTGGAGATTTGGGGATTTGGGATTTGGAAGTACGAGGTTCAAGATATGTAAAGATTTGAGAATTAAAGATTTATAGCATTTGGATTTAGAAATTTCAGCATTTGGAAATTTGAGAATAAGAGAATCTAAGATTTAAGGATTTGAACAATATTCCAGCCTTTGAAAGTACACTTAGAAATTCAAGAAAGTAACCCAAGATTCCCAAAGTTCGCAAACTAGCATTAAGAGCATGTACTCCCACATGTCTTCATATGTACATACATGAAAACTCCAAGATTTGAAAACGTCCATTCATAAAGAACAGTAATACCCAAGACCCTAGTATCTGGAGAAAATTTCTAAACCGCCAAGGAGTTTAGAAAGATCTAACTTAGACGTCTAAACTTCGTGTTACCCAAAGGTAGTCCACATTGCACCCAAGTGTATTCGCGGTATACAGTTGCAAGATACATGTGCTTGTGTACAAAGTTTCTTCTGTATACGTTTGCATGTAAAGAGCATGTACGAGCATCCGTCGACGCAAGGTGTCCGTGTACGTCGGCAAGATGTGCATACAAGCGAAATTTGTACATCACATTCGTGTAATGAACTGTGTCACCCGTGATTTCTGCGCTGTCTGCACGCGTGTGACGCGCATGTGGCCGGTGCACGCAAGTTACGCAACCACTGCGACGAAAGTGCAGGCGAAAAAAAAAGACGAGAAAAAAAATTGCGGCACTTTTCCTATACATGCAAGTCCTGTACATGGAGGTCCACGTTCGTTCAGCGACTGCGCTAATGAACCGTATCGCTACTATATTTAGTGCGCGAGTAAACACGCCGACACGCTAATCCATGGATACCGCACACAGACGTGTCATTGTATAATCGAGCGAAAAGTGTGAAGGAGTTCGAGCTGTTACTACACGAATTTATAGGGTGCAGGATTCTTTTTAATCGGTAATGGTCAGTTTTGGGGATTTCGAATTTTGGGGGTTGCGGAGTTAGATTTTTTGGATTTCGAAGTCTTCACATTTTTCAATTTATATTTTTATGTTTAAAAATTTAAGGATACTGATCTAAGTGAACTTATAGATTCTGAAGCTTATTGCAGTATTTCTGCTGTTACAAATTCTTCAAATTCTCCAAATTCTCCAAATACTTCAAATTCTCCAAATTCTTAATATTTCAGAAATCTCGACTTCCAAGTTCTAGTGTTCTCAAGTTTCAACATTTCTGAAATTCCCAACTTCTCAAACTCCCGAATTCCAAAATCCTGGACTTCCCCAAATTCCTACATTCCCAAATTCCTTAATCTCCAAGCTTAAGTTATCGAATTCCTGAATCATCAACTTGCTGAATTCCTAAACTTCAAAAATTCCTATCTCCACTTACCAAATTTTTTTGTCTTTTCCAATTTCTCAGATTTCTCTAATTGGGCAACTTCCTCAAATTCCTCAAATGCTTCAAAATCCAATTTCACAAATTACCATTTCCATCATCCCCACCATGGAAACTCGGGCCAGACAGTCCCTAGACTTCCAAAACCGAAAAGCAAATGCCTTCTTCTAGCCGAAAGTAAGGCTACGTTGCAGCAGAGTGTACATAGACTTGTATGTATTATATGAAATGGCGAATGTAGGCGCATCGCCACGACGTTTCCTTCCACGGTGAATCCCAGCCTGTCCCAGAGAGGCACGGGCACTGTAAAGCGGCATGAAAGCACGGAATAGGCTGTCAGTGGATGGTCTATCGTCTGTGTGTGCACATTCACACACACGTACACACAGACATGTAGTTGGTATATAGAGAAGAGTGGGTGGGTAGGCAAGGCAAAGCAAGGCAGGCTCGGCTGGTGGTCGCTCGGTTGCGAAGTTCGCTCGATAGCAAAGTGCGGTTCCCCTCGACACGAGCTCTCGTGCTTGCAACGCGGTAGGATTAAAGGGGAACAGCCCGTGTACGGAAATGCACGATCGATGCGCACATGTCTGAATTTTCGTGTCAAGTCGTGACCGATCGACCACGGTCTGCGGCTGAGGGTGTCGCGTTTTGATTTTTCATCCCCCCATCTTCTATCCCGTTGCGGCTTATTCTCTGCTTTTCACTTATTTAGACGCTTCACGATTTATTTACACACTATAGAAAACGCTGTCACAATTTATTTTGGTTCCTATTTACTATAGAACGCAATTTGTTTTGACCCTTTGCTATAGCAACTGTCACAATTTATTTTGACCCTCTGCTATAGAGAACGCTGTCACAATTTATTTAGTCTCTATTTGTTATAGAAAACGCTCTGATGGAACACGTCGAGACAACTCGAAAAATTTCATAAGGTTGTCTGGTTTTGTCAGATGAAACATCACTGGCTTTGTCAGATAATACCATTATAGTTGTGTAATAAAGGACTATTACATTTCTAGTAAACCGATAATTATATGTAGTAATTAGGGGTGCTTTTAGCTTTTTCAGTGGGGCTACAGTGATATGAAGTTACATTTAGAATGTTGTTATCTCCCTCTGATTGCAGTTGGAAGACAATGTTGGAAAAACTGAATACTTCAAAGAGAACTGTTCTTTTGAACTCGTACCTTTCTACATATACCTTCATTTATGAAGCTGAAACTTCATCTTGATTTTCCTCTTTCATGAAATCTTTCAAAAATTTCTTCAAAGTCTGCATATTTAGAATGCACAAATGGATGTGGGAATCATGAAGTAAAAAATTATTTCGAACACGAAAGGAAGTTTTTAAAAAAGATTTTCTTTAAAGAAATCATTTAATAATATCCTTTCCAAACTTTGCCCTACCTTAAAGCAGAATCAAGCTTGATTTATGTAAAGAAAGAAACATGAACAACAAAATAAATTTTCTACTAGCATAATCACCGTCCACGATAAATTGTATTCGAGACACTGTTAGTTCAGGTGATAGTCGCATAAGCTGCCGTCCATTTCCTTTTTTCTCATGCAGCTGCTACGTTTTGTCGCAATGGAGTGCAACATGTTAATTAGATTCTCGATTTAACGGTGTCAGGCGTTCGTGTGGCAAGTGCACGAAGCATACGCGGGTAGATGAACACGTCAACGTGCCGAACACGATACCCATCTCGAAACACGTGCGTGTCGCCTCTGGTTTATCCTATCCTCTTACGACTCTCGCTTTGCTTCTCGCGTGACTCTCTTTTTACATCTCGTACACGTGGCTCGTGTAATTGCTGTCTTTACTTTCCACCTTCTACGATCCTCTTTCGTTCAAGCTTCGCTTCTCTTTCTACAATAGGACCTCTATCTTTCTTTAGTTTCATTCGTTGCTCGAAACGGGTAGTGCTCGTCGGATAGCAAAATCATATTCGATAGGGTACATTGACAGTCGACATTTTTTATTAGATATTCAATATTACATACTATGTTCAATATTTTATATTATACATTTTGTATATTTGATATTTTGTGTATGTTACATACACATATACTATATGTTACATATGTGCATATTACATACACATATTATTTTATATGTTACATATGTATGTGTATGTTACATACATATATTATATGTTCCATATGTGTGAGCATTTTACATACATATATTATATGTTACATACACATATTATATATTCGATATTTCATATTACATATACACATTACACATTCAATATTTTATGTTACATATACATATTACATATTCAATATTTCATGTTACATATACATAGTATGTACATAATATTTCACTACATGAAAATAACGCAGTTAAAAAATTAAGGAAGGGTATATAGGAAGTTCAGGAATTTAAAGATCTAAAAACATGTAAAGAAATAAATTTATTAAAAATGAGAAAAATAAATTTTTGAATAATTCATCGGTTTTAAAAGTTGATGCGAAAAGTCTGAGCAGTCCCGAAAGGGTAGTAAAACCTCCCCCTGGAAGTGGTATATGTTCAGGAATATGGTCCCGAAAGATGAATCAGTGCCGAGCGGAACGATGATCGCCGCGAGGGACAGGAAAGATGCTGACGAAAGTGTTTGCAGATCGAGGATCTCCTAAGGGAAGAGTGGCCTGTGGCGCCATGTCACGCGAGACGAACGCACCAAAATCGACGACGAGGACGGCGACGACGAAGAGAGCAAGAGACCCGATCGTAACATCGACGATCACGACTCGCCTCGTTGCGGTTCGACTTGGCGGCGATTAAGAAGGTTGCAGCTAGTTGGGACGTTCATTAGCCAAGGTGCTGACGATACTAATAACAGTAGAGAGGTGATAGGCGGTAAACCGTGTCACGCAGTGGCGTAGGGCGAGTCGGGGTGGCGTGGAGGAGGCGGAAGAGGAGGTGGAGACGGAAGTGGACGATGACGGACACGGCTTTAACGTAATCCACCTAAAACCAGGAAGCATTGTACCGCGAGCTTCTTCGAGATCGGTTAACAATACCGGAAGTGATACAGCGACGGTGAATTTCAGTGTCGTTCGCAAAGTGCATCAAATATCGAGCTTAGTAAATAATCGAATAGAAAGAGAGTAAGGTGACGGAGATATAATAGTTTTGTTAACGTATCACGATAGTTAAGTCGAAGCAATCTTAGGGTTAGTAGCGAATGAACCACGAAGTGAAATCGTGGTGGTGGTGTATGATAGGTGTAATAAAAGACCAGTGACAAAAGATACGTGGTGACACGAGTTGACGTGGTTCGATTCGTGGACTAATTCGGCGCGAACGTGCGGAGAAGGAGGACGTCCTTTCGGGGTGGCGTCGCGGAGCGCCGCAGCGGATGTTACGCCGGGCTGGTAAAGGGCGCCGGGTGATCTACGGGGGTAGCAGCCTGGAAGAGACAAAAGGCCATCACCACGGCGTTCAACATGTTCGAGATGTGGAGCGCGGTGAGTTCCAAGCTGGAACACTCCGCGACCTCCTCGGGCTCGCCGTTACCTCTGACCTCGCACGCACCGCAAACACCTCACACCTCGTCCGGGAGCATAAAAGGTAACGAAAGAGCTCCGTTATTGTGTGTAGAAACGTACGTTCCCACGGTGATTGTGTATGATCCTTAAGGAAAAAGAATCACGCGTACACCGGGGCCGGTTCGCAGCGCTCTAACGTGCATTTTCTAATTCCGTTCGTGTCGGAGAACCGTTGTACGGGCCCCATGGAATCGTCGTGAACCAAGTTTACATAACGTCCTTTTCAGAATAATACGTTCCGTGCTTGCTGGTACAGTCTACGGCAAAGCTGCCTTCCCTAGAGAATACCAGGAGACCATATATTCGTCGCTTTTTTGGGAATTTTAGAGTTTGAACAGTTGGAGACACAGGAATTTGGGGAACTTGGGATTTCGGGACTTTGGGATTTGGAGATTTACAGCGGTGGGAATTCTGGAACTTAATAGTTTACGAATTATGGGACTTGGAAACTTAGGGTGGATATAGGAGTTTAGGGAACTGGAATTTGGAGACATAAGTGTGAATTCTTAGAATTTGGGTACTATGGGTTAAGGACTAGTACGGCACTAGGACTTTGGGAAGATAGGGACCGTAGAATTTGAAAATCCACATAGAATTCTTGGGGCCATAGATATTTATCAACCTAGAAATTTAGGATTCTATGTATTTGGGAATCTAAAAATTTGCAGGTGAAACTCGGAAATTTAAGAATTCAGAGATCTAAAAATTTGGACATTTCAGAACTTAGGAAACTTAAATATAAAATTTCAAACTTCAATATCGAACATAAAAACTTTGAAGTTTTGAGTACATAGAGATTTGGAAACTTCGAAATCTGAAAATCGAGGGGATATAAAAATTGAAAAGTTAACTTGAAAATTTGAAACTTCGAAAATGCAAAAATTGTCAAGTTTACATATGAGTTCTTATTCAAAGGAAACCTACGTTGCACCCGAGTGTACTTCATTCTATTTCGTCCGTATATGTCACTTCTGTATGTGTCATTTTATCTCTATGTCAAATCGTATGTGTGTCCTATCGTGTGTGTGTTCTTTTGTGTACTTGTATGTGTCTGTCCTTTTTGTCGTTTCCAAGCAGGAACAGTTAGTTCGCGGAATCACCGAGTACTTTTTCCTGCTACAAACATTTTTTTACCTCTGCAAAACTTGCCGTGAATATCTTCGTTTCGCGCGTATGATACACGGAATGTTTGCGAACGAGGGAACATTAACATGACTGCGTTTCCAATTATTTGTCGTTTTGAAAAGAACGAGTTCAACCTTCCGTGAACGTAAAATGATTTCGCGTTTGTTTAGGGAATTTAATGTTGTGCGCGGGAGAATACTCGTTTGAATGTAGTCGCTGAAGATTTATGGTGTTTCCGGGTTAAACGTGCTCGTTGGAAGTTCGCGAACTTGCAGAATCCACTGAGTGGGAGGGGATTCTTCGATCGCACACGTCTGACCACTCGGACACACGTGGATTTCACTCGCAGTGGATTAGGTGGTCAGACACGCGCTCCGACGAAAACACGCGGTTTTAACCTACCGTTTATTACTTTATCTGCTTTTACTACTTAAATTCTTTATATCACATATTGTATGCGTTAATTTTTTTCAAAATTATTCTTCCTTTTCGAATTATTACAAGTGTACTGTACAACTAGTGTTCACTTTTAGAAAACAGTGTTGGACATCCAATATCTCATACTCATATTATATTTTTTAATAAAATATTGTAAATTTTTGATGATACAAATTATATATTGATGTAAATATCACAAGATTTTCAATTAGAAAATGTGAAATATATAAAGGAGCTAAAATGGATTGTTCTAACATCAAAAACCTGCTTTTTTTATGAGAACATTTAAATTCAAAACTGAGTTTATGAAATATACATTTATGTAATTGCATATGTTATACAATCACACGTCCGAATAATATGAAGAACGATAAGAATATATGAAGAATGAGAAAAATATTCGAAGCGATTTAACGAAAACAAATTTTTGATTTCCTGTATCAATGACAAACGTTCTCGTCACGCGTTGATAAACGTAGATGGACGTATCCATAAAATGAATGCAAATTTCGAGCGGAGTGAAAATTTTCAAGCGCGCTAGCGGCGAAACGTCGGAACGTCGTTTAACATTATTTACACGGTGCTTTCGTTGCGAATTAATTTGATTCGTTGAAACGTGCGCCGGGTTATGTCACGGGGGAGTTGTTCGCAAAATTGTTGGAATTTTTCGCGGGCAGTTACGCACCGTAAATGTCACCGTGTACCGCGATATTTCAACTTTAATGCCCGATAAACGCGTCTAAATTGTCTCGTAGCGCGACTCGCTCGTCGCCATCGATTATTGATCTCGTTATCATGCAAGATTGCTAGAATTGATCTCAAACACTGCCCGCCTGATTGATGTTACTTCCAAAACGATCGGACAACCAGATAAAGCTGATACATGCACGTGAACGCGCGTCGATACGCACAAATGTATGACGATTCGATTGATCCTGTTATCCGACTAACGATATTATCAAAACATTCGTACAAAATCTTTGCTGAATATAGAACGGTCAGATTTACGATCGTGATCTAATATATTAGCATCTTACAAGCTATTATTTTATAGATGTACTCTTATATACACACATGTACACATATGTTATTATACTAACTTTATGCACATGTCTTATAATCGTCTTATAACGCTTGGATCTTATAATGCATCATATTATTATGCACGTGTCGTATAATGCATCATATTATTATATATGCATATGTCATATAATCATATTACGTATGCATATGTCGTATAATGTGTCACATATAAGCACACATTTTGTACCATAGACTTGCACAAGTGCATTCTATAATGCAACATATATCTTGGAATGTATCATAATCTTGCATACGAATGCATCTTATGCATTATAATCTTATCTAATACATCATATCTATCATATAATATCTTCTACACTGATTTCATAATGCATCATAAGCTTAGACATGCATAAACCTTACATCTTGCAATGCATCATATCTTATAATACATCATAATCTTACATATCCATATGTCTTGTAATGTATCATAATCTTACACACATGTCCTATATACATGTATATCTACATGTCTTATGATGCAATATATAATCTCGCATATGCATACATTCTACAACACATCAATGTTAGACACGCATCAGTGGTTTTATCAGACAACTCGGAATAAACAAAATGCCTTTGAACTTTGAAATACCGTATTTTTACAGCGTTTCCACCGTTTTGCAACAGAGATAGATCATTGATTTCGGATGAATCATGATTTTGGTTGACGAACAAGAGAGAGTTCGTTTAGAAACCGACAACAGGAATACATATCGTCGAAACGTTTCAAAACTGCTTTTACGATGTCGCGGATCGTGCATGTCCCGAATAACAAACAACAATGACAAGCACAAATTTGCCGAGCATGTCGAAAGTGATTCTACATGCTTTTCTATTTGAAACTTGAGTTTCTATGAAACTATTCTCTACGATGTGAAAGAATTCTGTTCATGGATGAGTGAGTAGATTTTGGATGAGCTGCTTTGACGTTTAGGAGTTCTGTGAAGTTTGGGGTATTGGAATTTTTGGGTTTGGGGAATATTGGAATTTTTGGTGAATTTTGGGATTTTTAAGAATTAGAGGATTTGGGAATTTGGGGACTTTTGGAATTTTGGGAATTTGCAGATTTGGGGATCTGAGAAATTGGAAATTCTGAGGAATTGGAAATTTGGGGATCTGAGAATTTTGGGATTTTTGGAAACTTGGGAATTCGAAAATTTGGCGATCTGAGAATTTTGGGATTTTTGAAAACTTGGGAATTTGAGAATTTGGGGATCTGAGAATTTGGGGATTTTTGAGAATTTGAAATTTGGAAGTTTGGAATTTGAGAATTTTGGATTTTGAGAAGTTGGGAATTTGAGAATTTGAAAGTTAGAAATTTGGAATTTGAGAGTTTCGAATTTGAGAATTTGGGGATCTGAGAATTTGGGAATTTGCAAATTTGGGGATCTGAGAATTTTAGGATTTTTGGAAACTTGGGAATTTGAAAATTGGGGGATCTGAAAATTTTGGGATTTTTGAAAACTTGGAAATTTGAAAATTTGGGAATCTAAAAATGTTAGGACTTTTGAAAACTTGGGAATTTAAAAATTTGGAGATCTGAAAAATTGGAAATTTGGGAAATCGAATATTTGAAAATTTACAAATTAACAAATATAAATCCTCGAAGCAAAAATTTATAAAAATTCAGCTTTGCTCCAACCTACAAAAATCGTGAAATAATGTATTTTCAATTGGCATAGTTAGCGTCAGTCGAAGTGTCAGATCGATCGATGATGAAACTCGCAAAAGTCAATGATCTAGCCAGAAGTCGAGCAGCGCGAGTGTATAGCGTAGAACTTAATCAACTCGAAGACACGTTATAGAAGCCTCGTATCTCTCCGCTAGTTTCAGAGAAATCGTTTAAAAGCGAGGCCGACGTAGCGAGCGGTTTCCACGAAGCCCAGGGAAACGCTTGTTTCGTTCGAAATAGCCAAAGGACGGGAACGGTTTCAAAAGCAAGTGGACGATGTCGCGAGAGTCATAGCCGTCCCGAATACGAATACGCGATCGAAACGCCGCGAGTAAATTATGCAAAGCGAAAGTACCCACGTAAGAGTGGGTTGCGCAAAAGCTTCGTAAGAAGAACGCCCGTAACGTCGCTCGGTAATGTCCTCTTGAACTCCTGATGAGAAAACAAATTTCAGCGGGTTAATCGAACTTCAACTTCCCTATCAACCTGTTAATCGATCGTGGTGAACTTCATATCTTCAGTTTAGAATTTATTTGATGAAAGTAGCCACGTAAGAGTGGGTTGCGCTGAAGATTTGTAAGAAAGCCCGTAGTGTCGCTCAGTAATATCCTCTTGAACTCCTGATGAGAAAACAAGTTTTTTTATCACTTAATCGAATTTCAACTTCCCTATCGTTTCAACCTGTTAATTGATCGTGATGG